TCGAGGGGCATTTAGGTAGGTTGTTTTCAGGTTCTGGCAATGACAAACAAAGCTGCTATGAACATAGGTGAGCAATGCCCTTGTGATATTTTTGCTTCTTTATCAAAGATCAGGTGTTTGAAGATGTGTGGATTGACATCCGGGTCTTCTATTCGGTTCCATTGGTCCTCCTGTCTGTTCTCATGCCATCTCCTTTGTTTTTTTTTTATATTCAGGCCTCAGTCCAGTATAATGCCCCCTACTCCTCTTCCCTCCTCAGTTACATCACTCTGGAAAGGTGTGTGTCCCCATCCACACCCATGCACATAAACAAACAAACTTACAAGCTTAAAAACGATACAACCATGTAGGTCTTTTGTTTATTTATTTATTTTTGTTTGTAAGACAGGATTTCACTTGGCCCAAGCAGTCTTCTAACTCACTGTGTGTCCTGGTTTGCTTCCTGTAGCTGCAATAAAGACCCTCATGATCAAAAGCAATTTTAGGACGAAGGGGTTTATTTTCACCTTATACTCCTTGTTGAAGGTGAGTTAGGACAGGAACTCAGGGCAGGAACTGAAGCAGAGACTGTGGAGAAGGTTGCTTACTGGCTTGCTCTCCAGGATCACATTGAGTTGCCTCTCTTATTAATCAATCAATCAATCAATCAATTAATTTAAAATTGATCTTTTCTCATTTTACATACCAATCCCAGTTCCTACTTCCTCCCCTCCTCCTGTACCCCCCACTTTACTCCAACTTCATCCCCCATCCCCTTCTCATAGAGGGTAAAACTTCACATGGGGAGTCAACAAAGTCTGGCATATCACTTTGAGGCAGGACCAAGTCCCCTCCCCCTATATCTAGGGTGAGCAAGGTATCCCTCCAAAGAGAATGGAATTCAAAAAGCCAGTTCAAGTACTAGGGATAAATCCTGGTCCCAATGCCAGTGGCCCCACAGACTGCCTCAGTCACACAACTGTCACCCACATTCAGAGGGCCTAGTTTGGTCCTATGCAGGTTTTCCCCACTGTCAGTCCAGAGTCAATGAGCTTCCATTAGCTCAGGTAAGCTGTTTCTGTGGGTATTCCCATCATAGTCTCGACCCCTTTGCTCATATTATTGCTCCTCCTTCTCTTTGACTGGACTCCAGGAGCTCAACCCAGTGGTTACCTGTGGGTCTCTGTATCTGCTTCCATCAGTTTCTGGATGAAGGTTCTATGATGACAAGATAGTCATCAATCTGATTACAGGGAAAGGCCAGTTTCAGCACCCTCTTTACTATTTCTTAGGATCTTAGATGCGGTCATTAGAGAGATTCCTGTGAATTTCTCTAGTGCCAGGTTTCTTGCTAGCCCCAAAATGACTCCCTCAACCAAGATATCACTTTCCTTGTTCTCCCTCTCTGTCCTTCCCCCATCTCGGCCATCCCATTCCCTCATGTTCTCCTCCCCTCTCCCGTTCTCCCTTTCCTCTCTCCTTCCTCCTCCCTTTCTACCATCTCTCCTACACACTCCCAATTTTCTCAGGAGATCTTGTCTATTTTCCTTTCCCATGGGGATCCATGTATGTCTCTCTTGGGGTTCTCCTTCTTACCTAGCTTCTCTGGGGTTGTGTACTATAGGCTGGTTATCCTTTGCTTTATGTCTAATATTCACTTATGAGTGAGTACATACCCTGCTCATCTTTCTGGGTCTGGGCTGCCTCACTCAGGACATGTTTTTTCTAGTTCCATCCGTTTGTCTGAAAATGTTAAGATGTCATTGTTTTTTAATCACTGTGTAGTACTCTACTGTGTAAATGTACCACATTTTCTTTATCCACTCTTCAGTTGAGGGGCATTTATGTTGTTTTCAGATTCTGTCTTTTACAAATAACATTGCTATGAACACAGTTGAGCAAATGTCCTTGTGGTATGAGTGTGAATCCATTGGGTATATGCCCAAGAGTGGTATTGCTGGGTCTTGAGGTAGATTGATTCCCAATTTTCTGAGAAACTGCCATACTGAATTCCAAAGTGGCTGCATGGGTTTGTATTCCCATCAACAATGCTGGAGTGTTCCCTATACTCCACATCCTCTCCAATATAAGCTATCATCAGTGTTTTTGATCTTAGTCATTCTGACTGGTGTAAGATGGTGTCTCAGAGTCATTTTGATTTGCATTTTCCTGATAGCTAAGAATGTTGAGCAATCCCTTAAGTGTCTTTCAACCCTTTGAGATTCTCCTGTAGAGAATTCTCTGTTTAGATCTGTACCCTATTTTAAAATTAGATTATTTGGTATTTTGATCTCTAGTTTTGTTTGTTTGTTTGGTTTGATTTTGGTTTTCAAGACAGAGTTTCCCTGTAGCTTTGGAGCCTGTCCTGGAGCTTGCTCACAGAGGCCTCTGCCTCCCGAGTGCTGAGCTTAAAGACATGTGTCACCAATGCCCGGCTAATGTCTAGTTTCTTGAGTTCTTTATATATTTTAGAGATCAGTCTTCTGTCCAAAGTGGGATTGGTGAAGTCTTTTCCCATTCAGTTGGCTGCTGTTTTGTCTTATTGATTATGTCCTTTGCTTTATAGAAGCTTCTTAGTGTCAGGAGGTCCCATTTATTAATTGTTGCTCTCAGTGTCTGTGCTACTGGTGTTATATTTAGGAAGTGGTCTCCTGTGCCCATGCGGTCAAGGCTGCTTTCCACTTTCTCTTCTATGGGGTTCAGTGTGGCTGGCTTTATATTGAGGTCTTTGATCCATTTGGATTTGAGTTTTGTACATGGGACAGATATGGATCTATTTGCTTTCTTCTACATGTTGACATACAGTTATGCCAGCACCATTTGTTGAAGATGCTTTCGTTCTTCCATTTTATAATTTTAGCTTCTTTGTCAAAAATCAGGTGTTTATAGGTGTGTGGATTAATATCAGGGTCTTTGATTTGATTTCATTGGTCCTCCTGTCTGTTTTTATGCCAATACCAAGCTGTTTTCATTGCTGCAGCTTTGGAATAGAGCTTGATGTCAGGGATGGTGATGACTCCAGAAGTTTCTTTATTGTACAGGATTGTTTTGGCTATCCTGAATTTTGTGTTTTTCCACATGAAGTTGAGTATTGTTCTTTCAAGGTTTATGAAGAATTGTGTTAGGATTTTGATGGGGATTACATTGAATCTGTAGGTTGCTTTTGGTAAGATTGTCATTTTTATTATGTTGATTCTACCTATCCAAGAACGTGGGAGATCTTTTCATTTTCTGATGTCTTCTTCAGTTTATTTCTTCAAAGACTTAAAGTTCTTGTCATACAGGTCTTTCACTTCCTTGATTAGTGTTACCACAAGATATTTTATGTTACTTGGCTATTGTAAAGGGTGATATTTCTCTGATTTTTTTTCCTCAGCCCTTTTATCATTTGTATATAGGAGGGCTACTGTTTTTTTTTTTTTTTGAGTTAATCTTGTATCCTACCATATTACTGAAGTTGTTTATCAGCTGTAGGAGTTCCCTGGTAGATTTTTTGTGGTCACTTATGTATACTATCATATCATCTGCAAATAGTGAATGTTTCTTTCTGATTTGTATCCCCTTGAGCTCCGTTTGTTGTCTTATTTCTCTAGCTAGACCTTTGAGTCTTATATTGAATAGATATGGAAAGAGTGGACAGCTCTGTCTTGTCCCTGATTTTAGTGGAATCTCTTTGAGTTTCTCTCCATTTAACTTGATGCTGACTGTCATCTTGCTGTATATTGCTTTTATTATGTTTAGATATGTTCACTGTATCCCTGATCTCTCCAAGACCTTCATCATGAAGGGGTGTTGGATTTTATTGAACGCTTTTTCAGCATCTAATGAGATGACCATGTGGTTTTTTTCTTTACTTATTTATATGGTGGATTACATTGACAGATTTTCATATGTTGATCTATCCCTGCATCTCTGGGATGAAGCTGACTTGATTATAGCGGATGATTTTTTGACGTGTCCTTGGATTTGGTTTGTCAGTATTTTATTGAGAATTTTTGCATCAATGTTCATGAGTAAGATTGGTCTGTAATTCTCTTTCTTAGTTGAGTATTTGTGTGGTTTGTGTATCAGGGTAACTGTAGCCTCATAAAAAGAGTTTAGCAGCGTTCCTTCTGTTTCTATTGTGTGGAACAATCGAGGAGTATAGGTATTAGCTCTTCTTTGTAGTTCTGGTAGAATTCTGCGCTGAAACCATCCAGCCTTGGGCTTTTTTTGGTTGGGAGACTTTTAATGACTGCTTCTATTTCCTTAGGGGTTATAGGTCTATTTAAATTGTTCATCTGGTCCTGATTTAATTTTGGTAAATAATACCTATCCAGAAAGTTGTCCATTTCTTTTACATTTTCCAATTTTGTTGAGTACAGGTTTTCATAGTACGACCTAATGATTCTCTGGATTTCTTTAGTGTTTGTTGTTATACCCCCCCACCATTTCTGTTTTGTTAATTTGGATATTCTTTCTCTGCATTTTGATTAGTTTGGATAAGGGTTTGTCTATCTTGTTGATTTTCTCGCAGAACCAGCTCTTTGTTTCATTGATTCTTTGTATTGTTTTGTTTCTGTTTTATTGATTTCAGCTCTCAATTTGATTATTTCCTGTCATCTACTTCTCCTGGGTGAGCCTGCTTCTTTTTTGTTCTAGAGCTTTCAGGTGTGGTATTAATTCACTAGTGTGAGATTTCTCCACTTTCTTTATGTAGGCATATAGTGCTATGTACTTTCCTCTTAGCACTGCTTTCATTGTGTTCCATAGGTTTGGGTATGTTGTGAATTCATTTTTATTGAATTCTAGGAAGTCTTTAATTTCTTTCTTTATTTCTTCCTTGACACAAGGGTGATTCAATTGAACACTGTTTAATTTCCATGAGTGTGTAGGCTTTCTGTGATTGGTGTTGTTGCATTCTAACAGATAATTTTATGTTATGTAAAGTTTATCTCCATAAAAATAGGTGGAAGAGCAAGGATTGACTCTACAGAGCTGAGGTCACTCATACCTCATTTTTGTTCCTTTTTTTTCCGTAGTAAAGGGCAATCGCAAGTGTGAGTTGAACTGCCAGGCCGCCGGCTACCGCTTCTACGTGCGACAAGCTGAGAAGGTCATTGATGGCACCCCCTGTGATCAGAATGGCACAGCCATCTGTGTCTCGGGACAGTGCAAGGTAAGTGCCACTGGGCTTGGGAGTCTGTGGTGCGGGTATTTAACCTGTGCCTGATGGTTTCGCAGGGCTGAGGTGAGCCAGCTTGTCGGCTCAGAGCGTTTGGTCTTTGAGAGTATCGCCGTGTCATGCTAGCTTTTCAATCATTAACCGGTCTGTTTGCACACTGTATATTTCATAGGGGCCATGACACTCGACACTGTCTTTCCTGGTGATGTCTGGTGCTCCTTCTCCACCTATGAAGTCGAGGTTGTAGAAAGGGCATGGCTGTCTTAGTTGGAAAGGATGTCGTCAATGTGTGAGTGACATTTTAAGAGAATGGTGTGTTTTATCCTGCCTCCCCCATTTGAGGCAAGCTTCCAAAGGAAAGTTGTTGAGCACCTTTTACAGCAGAAGGTGGACTTTAAACAAGAAGTTTCCCACCTCCTCAGGCTTCTGAAATCTACTCTATGAACTCCCCACCACACATTCCGTGGATTAGATTTAGTTAAAAACATGCATCTTAAATGAGAGAGCACAGACTTCATAACTACATGTGTCTTTACCTGGTCCTCTACCCTCCTTTCGTCTACAAATGTACCTCTGGAGTTAAGGCCTAATTGTTGTCCGTGCAAAATAGGCTGCTATGCTTTTTCAGTTAGTGCGCCAAGGATGGCCGGATTGGCTTTCATCCAAGGAGAAGCCCTTTGGGTATAATGTTTTTGAATGTAAATTTCTGTGTGTTTAATATCAAAGCTAATAAAGTACAATTTATATATCTCTATGTACAACTTCCTCCCTCATCGCCTTCCAAAACAAAACAAAAAACTCAAACCCTTCTGTATATGTATTCGTGTGTGTGAATGCAGCTGCATGCCTCTTCCACAGCACATGCGTGGAGGACAGGACAATTCCGGTGGCGGTCCTTATCTTCTACTTTGTTTGGAGACAGGGTTTTGTGTTCTGCTGGCATTCCATCCAGCCTTGCTGGTCCAAGCTTCCTGGGATTCTCCTGCCTCTGCCTCCCATCTCACCGTAGAATTACTGTACTCCCACATTTGGCTTTTTGTGGACGCTGAGAATCCAAATTCAGACCTTCTGCTTGCGTAGCAGGTGATTTACCCACTGAGCCATCTCTCCAATGCCCCCCCCCCCACCCAGTGGCTTAGAAACGTCTCTTTTAAAAGAGAAACATGTTGGTATGAATTCTGTTGAGTTTTGCCTCAGCGTCCCATGGTCACAAAGATCCCTGCAGTCTCAGTTTCCTGAATTATATTATGATGTTAATCTGCAGAGAAGATGCATCCTTCGGTGCTGTTTCCATGAGAAAGTTTCAACTAAAATGTAAAAGCATTTGCTAAGTGCGGTGTTGGTCATATTGGATGGAGAATGAAGGAAGTTGAGACAGAGGCTCTCCTTAATATCTCATGTGAATGAACTGTTTTTGGAGGAGCTAAACCTATAACGGGTCTTTCTTTGGTCTGCCAGCTCCTGAATAATGACACGGAGACTTTTTATTAATTCCAAATCTTGGCCTTAGCTTAGACTTATTCCCAGCTAACTCTTAAAACTTAAATTACCTCATTTATATTAATCTACATTCTGCCATGTAGCTCGTCACTTCTCCGCAGTACCATATCTCCGACTTCCTCCGTGTCTGGCTGGTAAATCTCTGGCACCTGGATTCTTTCCTAGATTTTTTATCTCTCCCTGGAAATCCTGCCTGTCCTCTCTTGCCTAGCTACTGGTCATTCAGATCTTCATTAAACCAATCAGAAGGTGCCTTAGGCAGGTCTGTTAAACAGACACATCTTCATGCAGTGTAAAAAAAGATTATCACAACACAAACAGCCCAGGAGTCAGTGCTCTGCGAAACAGACCCCAACAGGGCAAGCATTAGCGCTGCTGTGAGCCAGCAAAGAGCCTTCTGAGGTGCGCCATGGGCCGAGTCCTGTACTATATGCTTGCTCTCTCTCTCTCTCTCTCTCTCTCTCTCTCTCTCTCTCTCTCTGTGTGTGTGTGTGTGTGTGTGTGTTATATGCATGTAGATGCTGGAGGTTGACAAGCTTATCTTTCTCAGTTGCTTTCTGCCTTCATTTTTGAGACAGGATCTCTCCCTTAACCTGGAACTCGCTGATTGATAAGGCTAAATTAGCTGGCTAGGGGGTTCCAGTTGTCCTCTTATCTCTGCCTCCCCAGCCCTGGGGCTAATAGGTGCACACCCATTTCTCTGTCCATTTGCTCTAAATTGTCTCTTCTCTTTTGCTTACCAGCTTTGGTTAGTGGGTTCGTCTACACACACACACACACACACACACACACACACACACACACATACACTTTTTTTTTTTCTGTGAGTATGTGTAGTTGGTATGCATTTAGAAGCTAGAGGGCAACTTGGAAAAACCATTCCCTCCTGCTTCTGGTTTCCTGAGGTTGGAACTCAGATCCAAAGGTTCAGCAGTAAGCATCTCGCCAGCCTCATGGAGACTCCGCTTAGAATTGTACTTGCTGATTGAATTGGGTAATCTGTTCTAGACAGCTGCGTCTCTGATTCAGCCTTGAGAAGGATGGAAGACTTCTCATTTCCTTGATTTTCAAGCTTAGGTGCCCCACTGGGACTCCCTCTGCTGCTCCAGCAAATCATTCTAAGGGAACCTAGTGCTGGTGACATTAAAAGGCTATCATGTTATGTCAACAGTGCCTGGGTGCCTCAACCAGAAAGACAATTATGGTGAGTGTGTGTCTGTGTGTTATATGTGATCATATATATTTTATCTTTAGTGCTTAATTTTTTAAAATTATTCAGTAAATTTTCTTCAATATACGAATGAATAAGCAAACTGAGAAGTTGTCGGTAAACCTCTCCTTAAAAGAACCAAGAGTACAGTTAATAGAGGATCATAATTGCAGCCCTTGCTCCACTCTCAGGACCTCCTAAAATCTGAATGATGTGAGCGGACCTGGCTGCAGGCTGATCCTGCAGGCTAGCAGGTGCCTCCTTCCTCCCTTGCTGCACCCTCCTGAAGCTTCCTACACAATCCAAGGGGGTGGCCCACCCTGAGAAAGGAAGAACTTTTTTTGGTCAAGAGTACAAGAGTAGCTGTGCTCCCCCACTAGAATCTTCAGATAAGCTCGAAAAGTCCTTGTGTGAAGCCGTGTACGGTAGCCTAGCTTCCAGGACTCCAGCAAATGAGGCGTTGCCTGTGGCAACTACCTTCAAACGTTTTAGAGCTGAAACAGCATAAACCTGGTGAATTTCCCTGGTTGTATGGTTCTTTTCTGTTGAGTATTCTTTCTCTCATTCTTAGCCACTCGGACAACTCCCTAACATGTTAAGTCTGTCTTGATTTCATGATTAATATATGTTTGATTCCACTTATGCACACACACACACACACACACACACACATGCACACATGAACATTATAGGGGTCTCTTGGGTTTTGTCTTCTTGCAGTGAAGAATTCAGTGTAGAGACATAGACAGAACAGAAGTTCACTGGACACTCCAAGGAGAATCTGGGAAGCAACCCAGTGAGTTCTGTATAGTGAATGTTAAAGAATTTTTATGGATATTTTTGTGGCAGGTTGCATATTCACGCCGTAAGATGACCCTTTGCCTTCCCAAATCATGATGGACAGGATTTCCCTTTTAGGGGATTTCTTCTCGTGTTCTTAGGGGAAGTGCACCAATGATAGTGCACAGAGGAGTACAATGATAGTGCAAATGATGCTTCATTGAAATCCAAGTCTTTTGCGGGTCCAGACCCTTCTAGGGTACATAAGTGTGAGGAGATGCTCTGGTGACTCAGTCACTGTTTTGACAGGAGCGTTGAGTCTGCAGCTTAAATGATTTCTAACCACAAGGAGGCCCCACTGCCTCTCGTGAGACATGGCTGCCGTCTTCTTCAGGTATCTAAGTCTTTGCCTACCAGCTGTCATATATAATTCTATATTATCCTCAGTACTACACATAATTATCCATTCAGCAGCTAGCAGATCCCTGCCACACACTGGGGCTAGGCATTGGCACTAAAACAATGGAAAAGGCCAACACGGTTCCTACCATACTAAGCTTGAAGCCCAGTGGAAAAAGAAAATAAAAAGTCTGTTGAGTGGCAAAATAATTACAAAGTTGGAGGAGTTCTTGGCAGGTCCCAGGGTCCTGAAAACATGAATAATTGTGGAAAGTCTCATTAAGTGGACTGTCACAGCGAGGTGTCTGAGGAGCGCAGGGTCCAGGTGACAAGAGGAGGCAGCATCATTGACCTCCAGCTGCCAGAATAGGAAGACCTGACTCACATGAGGCGCGCAGGAGCTGGCAGATGTTGAGCTGCCAGGTTTGTACTTACTTCTGCTCTCTGCCCATAGTTAATCTGGTCTCTTGATGGGGCTATCCTTAGCTAAGGAGGCCCTTACATCTTCCTGAACATGTGCTGGGTTTAGCAATGGAAATCTCCACTAAGTCATTGTCTAAGTCTCTACAGACTCCCCTGGAAACAGGATGATACAGTGAGTCAGGAATAGAATATGAGGCCATCCTGGATGTCCAATATAAAAGCGGGTCTGTGGGTAAGATTGTGGACAGGATGCCCAGAGCTTCCCGTGTGGTCCTAATGGCCCCTCCTTGGCTAGAGTGCCTGAGGGAGAGCAAGGATCATGGCCTTTCCCATGGTTTTCTGAAGAATGGGGATCTTGCAGTACTCCATCTAAATTGGCAGCGGTGGTACCTGTCACTTAGTACTAGGAAGAGGGGAAACATCCACTGTGGCCTTGCCCCTAAACAAAGCACAGGCTGGCACTGTGGCTATCATCTGTCTTGGTACAGGAGCAGAACCGCTATACAATGCTCGTTTGATACCGTCACACCTGTAGGTACTGTTCCCAAGCCATGACGTAAAGCATCAGGGGTTCAGAGACTTATGCAAGGCCTGAACAGCCCATGCAGCCTATTTGGACTAAGGGGCTAATGGGCACTGTGAAAGGGTTTGTTTCCACTTTCAGTTGTAGTTCGAATTGAAC